CAAGGAGTGACCATCCCTCAAAATATTATGATTTTGTCATTTTGGAGTTGTAGTTGCTGGGATTTATAGTTCACCTACATTCAAAGAGCATTCTAAACTCCACCAACTATGGGATTGAACCAAACATGGCACACAGGACTCTCCTGACCAACAGAAAACACTAGATGGGTTTGGTGGGCATTGACCTTGAGTCTGGAATTTGTAATTCACCTACATCCAGAGAGCATTGTGGACTCAAACAATGATGGATCTGGACCAAACTTTGCACGAATATTCCATTTGCCCAACTAGGACCATGGAGCTTGGGGGAAATAGACCTTGACATTTGGGAGTTGTAGTTACTGGGATTTATAGTTCACCTACAATCAAAGAGCATTCTGAACACCACCAACGATAGAATTGGGTCAAATTTCCTACACAGAACCTCCATGACCAATAGAAAATACTGTGTTTTCTGATGGTCTTTGGTGACTCCTCTGACACCCCCTTACAACCCCCTCAAGGGTCCCAACCTCCAGGTTGAGAAACACTGGCCTAAGGGCTAATCAATAAAAATTACTACTACTCTTCTCTTTCCATAGGACAAGGTTGACCTGATGTCCATGAAAGAGATGTTGGAGGAGATACGGTGAGAAACATGGAGCCTGGGGAGGGCAAAGGCACACTCTCATCTCAGCCATTTCCGATTGTTGGGTGGATGGAAGATTTAGAGCTCACACGGCTGAAGATGGAATGCATGACTCCATCCTTGGAATTTGTTAGGATGGAGGGTCCCAAAATACAACTGGGTTTGCTTAAAGTACATAGTATGAGTCTTTAAATCTGTAAGTTTCCTATATCTCTCAAATTCACCTGACATTTCTTATTTTCCCTAACAGAGAAAATGCTGAGATGCCCTTATCAGTGCAGTCCTTGAGGTGAGTTCTTTGGCATCGGCATCCACATGTCCTGTTTTGGCCTTGGGTAGGAGCACAATCTTGAGACGGAGGAATGGCCTTTGTTTAGCCCTCCCTGCATAGAGCAGACTGAGGATTCATGATTGAGTTCTGCGTAATCTTTGGTAGATATCCAAAGCTTTCAATTCCCCACCAATACATTAAGTTGTTTAGGAGGCAAGGAAAATATGCCATTCTGTGGCTGATGTTTTCTAAATCCCTTTCTTTCAGACTCGGGGTTCATCATTTGTACAACAAATATACTGAATTGTTGGTTTTGTGAATTGTTCGTTCGACTGTTTGTTTTAAAACACCGTCTTAGAAGCTGTGATATTTAGCAATACATGTATAGTGTATAGTTTGTGGTGTGCAGTACATAATGGACTGAGATATAGAATCATAGAGTTGGAAGAGACCTCATGGGCCATCCAATCCA